AATAATAGATATATTCAAAATCATTGAATTAAGGAAAATTTTTGAAAATAATTGAATTTCAGTGAAGATTTTTGCTATTTATAAAGCTAATTGTAATCATGACGAGAATTTTTTTTAATTTTTGAAATTAATGGTATTTCTAAAAAGAATTTTCAAACTCTTAAAAATAAAATTTTATTCCCGTGATTAATATTTTATTTATGAAAATAATTGAATTTTGCAAAGAAATTTATTTTTAAATTCTGGGAAGAATTTTGATATTTATCTAGATAATTGCTTTCTTTCTAAGAATTGCATTAAAATTTTGGAAATAATATTAAAAAATTCAACTAATTGCAACAGAATTGAAATTAAAATTGTATTAAAAATAATTGAAATTCTGCGATGAGTTTTATTATTTATGAAAATAGTTGAATGCTTGCGAAGAAATTTATAATAAAAATTTGTAAATAATGGAATTTCTGTGAAATTTTTTTTATTTATGAAAATAATTAAAATTTTCCCAATAATTTTATTAAAATTTTTTTAAATAATTGAATTTCTGTGGAGAATTATATTACTTTTGAAAATAAATTTTTTTTCCCCGTATCGCCCAAAAATTAAGAGCTAACTACCTTTTAATTTCTCTCCAAATTGGACTAAAACTAAAATAAATTAAAGAATTCTCGCCACCTATCTTTATACAAATCTACATTTCCAAATTTCCAGAAATTCTGAGAGTACCTAAATTAATAAAACTCCTCTATGGAAAAACTTTTCAAAAAAATAAAATATTAACTAGAGAATTTTGGTACATAAATTAAGGAAACGTGAACAATTTACATGTATATATAAGAAATCTCGAGTAGTCTGCATAGAAATGAATACTTAATAGAAATTATAGCATATGTGACCGACTCATAAAAAAAGGCTCAGATTTTTTTTCACCAGAAGATGGTCAACAGAAGAAATTAAAAATGGGTGACTCTGATGACCACAAATAGGTGTAATTACAACCATATTCCTCTTGATTGCCGACAAAAATGGTAGGTATATTTAATATTGCTCCTATCAGATCTAGTATATTTTATAATATTCCCTCTCCGACTTGGAGATTAGTGTTATATTAACAAGTGGGCGTAGAGTTCAAAGAAGAGAAAGAATAATACTGACACTAGAAATAAGATATATAGGTATGTACACATATAGAAGATATCCTATCCCGATAAAAACGTACATCTTTGAAAGAGAGAGAAAGAGCTATAATATTATCTCCTTTGCGCGCGACCACCATTGTTCCTTCGATGACAGGTGAGCTTGTTCTCGGAAAGAATGAACGCTCCTTCGTGGTTTTACGTCGAAATTGCTCGCGTAAATTTCGGTGCCTTCGTGATTTACGCAACGACCAAACATACTGAGAATGTGTGAGGAGACAATAACCACCTCCTACATATAGTACATAGTAGATATATCTATACATGTATGTGCAATGTTATCCTATCATGAAGCTCAAAATATTAGGTACGATGCATCGATATTTCTATACAGGAACTTAATTGCGACATCCATCGATGTTTATAATTTTACGAGCGGGTAAATTTATATCCTCTTTTCACTGTTGCGCGCGGTGAAAAAGGGCGCATTGTTATGGAGGCGGAGAAAAATTTGCTACCGTTGCAGTTAATGTCAATAGGTTTGATGTTCAATAAAAACACGTGAGCATTTTTCGTAAACGGACGATATAAGTTGTATTTGAAGAAGATAAAAATCTGTAAAGTATGTAGTTCCTTTATTTTCTAACTGTTTTAGTTTAAACAAAAAATATTTTTAAAAATGTTATGTTTCAACTTAAAAGTTGATTATTTATTTTCATGTCAATTATTTTTTTCTTATAACTACAGTAAAAGAAATCATGAAAAATTATTTCCCAACAAATAATTATGCGCAAAATTATAAGTATTTCCTCTAATAATAAAAAATGTAATACAAATTTTTAGATTCGTGAAAAACAAATCTCTCACGATATCTAGAGATAATTGTCAACTACAATAAAATAATAATAGTCAACAATTACAACAAAATAAAATTCAAAACATTCACAAATTTAAAAATCAATGTAAAATTTGAAACAACATAGTGACATACATAAAAATAGACAAAAATTTTAAATAAAATACATTTTCCACTCAGTGCCGGCTTTGGAGTAATGCGCCCCACGTTAGGGGGCGCCGCGGCGATGCCTGTGCGAAAATATTTTTCTAATTCGCAAGAGTAGGGAACCTAATAAAATTTTCACACGAGGCACCGGAATGGCTGACGATGACTGAGGCCGACACTGATGGTGGCACTGGAGCTCCAGTACAGTGTTTCCTATAAGATACGTACACACAAAATTAAAAGAATTACCGATTTCCCTACCTACAGTCGTGTTTTAAACGAAAACAAAATATTTACCTCATTCGTACGAAAAAAAGCTACTCCTACCTATCAATTAAGCTATATTTACTTCAAACCTAATAAATACTCTTTAATTTCACAAACACTCCACGTTCCTCTCACATACCGCCCAGGTGCAAAAACCTACACTAGGGATAAAGGGGCACGTTAGGCTCACCCATACGTCCCGGGACGCATCCGACACCTGAGCTCAAAATCACTCAATCCTGAAAATAAAACACCTGATATTTTAACCCTAATAATTAAATAAAAAATTTTACAATTGAAAAGCAATTAAATAAAGAATTAAATAATTGAATAAACAAATTAAACAATCGAACGAGAAATTAAATATAAATGAATAAAAGAATTAAACAATTTTAATAATATTAAATTAAACAATTTAATGAAAAATTAATGAATTGAATGAAATTGAATCTCAATAAATATTTTCGAATTAGAATAATTCATAGGTGCTTTAAAGATTTTTTCACTAATTAAAATTAAAGAAGTTACGAAAAATACCAAAATATACAAAATTAAACGAAATAAACAATGTAAATAAAATACAAAACATAAATAATAGAAGAAACATTGATAAAAATATTATTCACGCAGTAATAGAAAATATACTACAAAATAATATAATCAGGGCTCGAAGCAGTAACAGTATTTAAAATACGGACTTTACGGACCAAAAATGAAAAATTACGGACCAATTAATGATAAAACTTTAACCAGTCCGAGTCAAATAAAAGAATATTTCACTTAAAACTATAAATAAAATTTTTCATAATTATAAAACATGATGATTTCGATTCCCATAAAGAATCGTAATCAATAAATTTTCAAATAATTGAATTCTATCAACGAATTTTAATAAAATTGTTAAGAATAATTACATTTTTCGAGAAATTCGATTAAAATTGTACTAAAAAGAATATAAATTCTGCAATGAGTTTTATTATTTGTGAAAATAATTGAATCCCTAAGAAGAATTTTATTACTTTTGATTTTGAACAGTATTTAATTTTTTCGAAGAATATTATTACTCTTGAAAACAATTGAATTTTTGCAATAATTCTTAACTTTTACAAAATTAAATTTTTTTTCGTGTTTTTAACTAAACATCTTCTATAAATCCATTATTTTTCATAATTTTTGAAAAAGTTCTTTAAGAATTTTCAAATTCATTTTGTTTACAATTGAATTTAAAAAAATTTACAAAAATTTTCTTAAAAAAATTAATTCCACAGAATTGTTAGGTAGGTAGTTAAAAATATGAAAAATTCAAATTTTTAAAGATTTTATTTTGAAACCTTTTGAAAATTCAATTATTCCTAAAAATTTATGCTCTAATGCTTTGGAAATGCAATTATTTTCTAAATTTTTAACTGTAATTCATTTTTAAATCAATTTTTATTCGAAAATTCTCCGATAATTCAATTATTTAAATACAAAAATAACAATTTTTTTAATAATTGAATGTTTCTTAAAATTCAATTTCCATAAAGAATTTTATCTATAAATTTTCAATTAACTGAATTCTATTAACGAATTTTAATACTATTTTTAAGAATTTTTTCGAGGAATTCGATTAAAATATTGTATTAAAAATAATTGAAATTCTGCAATGAGTTTTATTATTTAAGAAAATAATTGAATTCCTAAAAAGAATTTTATAATTTACAAAAATAATTGAATTCTTGTAAAAGTTTTTATTATTTTTGAAAATAATTGAATGATTGCGAAGAAATTTATAAAAAAATTTGTAAATAATGATATTTATGTGAAATTGTTATTATTTTTTTAATAGAATTTAAAATTTGTTTAGAATTTTATTAAATTTTTTTTTTAATAATTTAATTCTTTTGGGAAATTTTACGAAAATCATTGAATTACGGAAAATTTTTGAAAATAATTGAATTTCGGAGAAGAATTTAATTATTTCTAAAGATAATTGAAGTTTTGATGAGAATTTTTAAAATTTTTTGAACATAATTGAATTTCTGGGAAGAATTTTATTACTTTTGAAAATAATTGAATTTCTGCAATCATTTGTAATTTCTCTAAAATTATCCAAATTATATCGTACAATTTACGAACTTTTCATCCTTTTTTAATCAAATTAGGACTTTTATGGGATTTACGGACCTAGTTCGAGCCCTTAATAATTATTATTCATCAATATTGTTATTCATCAGTATTATTCTTCAATATTATTATTCATCAGTATTATTCATCAGTATTATTTATCAATTGTGTCACTATGTTGTTAGAATTCCTTCCCTGTTTAAAAAAATCCATTGTTTCAATTGAACCAAGAATTTCACTTAACTTCTAAACAAGAAAAATTATTGCAATCTCATAAGATAAAATTGAATTAAATTAAAAATTGAATTAAAAAGTTAATTTTGAAATTATAATTTAATTTACTATACTCATTTAATTTAATAAGAATTAAATTGTCAAAAGTTGAGTAAAACAGGGAAGGATTAATAATAAAAATGAAATAAACACTCAACAATTAGCTGACTCCTTGATGCGGTCATTGAACGACTCGTTCTCACGTTGAGGTAGAGGGACCACTTTTCTTCTCCTACATCCTCCTTATCCTTTAGAGTAACCCTTATAGTTGAGCAGAGTAGTATAATAGAGTAGTAGTAATCTCTTGAGAATCCTTTAGAATAATGCGGGAAATAACTGAAAAATAAAGGGACAATTAATTAAAAAATAAACAAGACAATAATATTAAGTATTCCAGTAATGTTCTACCCTGGAGAAATTTAATTTGAATCAAATAATCTATTACCTATTATGACTATTATAGCATAGCAGTAATAAGGATACGATGACAGCAAATAAGATTCCTGTGAGCAGACATCTCTTCTTCTGGAGCTGCAAGAGTTCCTTTAATTACTGACCAAACAGGCCTTCTGCAGAAATTGAAGTCACCCAATGACCACAAAACTTCCCTTGAGTTTCTGAAAAATAAGAAAAGAATAGATTTTATAATATAAAAAATACCCATATTAACTAGTGAAATCACATTAACGAACAATGTCTCCTCATCTACAACTTTAGTTTAACGAAACAGACAAATTTTCCCTATTGAATAAAATTTTTTAATTCTTATCCAACCACTTCACTGCTTATTCTTATTAATGTAAAAATTAAAATACCAATCTCTTTTTGATTACCAACCTATGGAGAATGCCCAAATCATTAACTTGTATTAGAATTCTGATTAGAAATTCCAGATGAAAAATACATTAAAAGAAAAACTAATTGTGCCGTTTTATCTTGAATCTCATCATATTCACAAAACGAATTACATATATATGACTGGTCAATTTTCTAGGTCAGAATTTCTTACTCATTGTATCATGAATACGTGATTGCCCCAGGTGTAGAGAGAGAGAGAGAAAGAGGGGAGGAGGGTTGAAAAGCTGCCATTTCATTGCTCCTTGACGAAGATATGGGATAGTAAACAATGAAAGCGCCCATTTTAAGCAGATTATTAAAACCTAGTCGCGCTATACACAGAACCGTAAATCGTCGACCCGTAAATGATTTTTCTATTATCATCAAACTTTACAAGGATAAAACGGATTCTTTTTTCTTCTGCCTCTTCACTAAACTGAAACTCTATTTTAAAAACATTTCTTCTATTCTGTTTGTTATTTATTTTTCGTATACTTATTTATTAATATAGTTTATTTGTAAATTTGTGAAAAAAGAACAAATAGCAAACAGTGTATATGTGGCGGATTTTACGGACCAAAAATAAAAATTTACGGACCAATTACTGACAAAAATATAACCAGTCCGAGTCAAATAAGAGAACATTTTACTTAAAACTTTAAATTAAATTTTTCATGAATATAAAACATGAAGATATCAATAACTCCGAGTCTTTGAAGACTCGGATGACCAAGTGATAAAATCATTTACAATTCAATTATTATTTACAAGAATTTTTAACTAAAATTATTCTTTAAATCGATTATTATTAATAATTTTTAAAAAAATTTTTTGACAAATTTCAAATCCATTTGCTTACAATATTCAATTTTACGAAATTTCAATTATTTGTAAATTCCTTAACTAAATAAATATTAGAAAAATAAAAACTTGAAATAATATTAAAAAAATTCAATTAACCTTTTTCAAAAATTATAATTTCAAAATTCAATTATTTCTAAAAATTCACGCTATATTGCTTTTAATATTCAATTATTATCTAAAATTTTAACTAAAATTAAGTTTTATATCAATTTTTATTAGAAAATTCTACTAGAATTCAATTATTTCAATACAAAAATAAATAATTTATTAAAATAATTTTAATAAAATTTTCAAGAATAATTACATTTTTCGAGAAATTTGATTAAAATTGTACTAAAAATAATTGACATTCTGCAATGAGTTTTATTATTTGTGAAAATAATTAAATCCCTAAGATGAATTTTATTACTTTTGAATAATATTTTATTTTTGCGAAGAATATTATTACTCTTGAAAGTAATTGAATTTTTGCAATAATTTGTAACTTTTACAAAAATGAATTTTTTTTCGTGTTTTTAACTAAACATTTTCTATAAATCCATTATTTTTAATAATTTTTTTAAAAAGTTCTTTAAGAATTTTCAAATTCATTTGTTTACAATTCAATTTTACAAAATTTCAATTGTTCGTAAATTCTTTAATTAAATATATATTAGAAAATCAAAACTTTAAATAATTTCAAAAAAGTCCACAATTAAAGAATCTCAAAAAAAAAAAAAATTAATTCCACAGAATTAATAGTTAAAAATATGAAAAACTTAAATTTTCAAAGATTTTAATTTAGAACCTTTTCAAAATTCAATTATTTCTAAAAATTTACGTTCTAATGCTTTTAGAATTCAATTATAATCTAAAATTTTAACTGAAATACATTTTTAAATCAATTTTTATTAGAAAATTCTACGAAAATTCAATTATTTAGATTCAAAAGTAAATAATTTATTGAATAATTGAATTTTTTTAAAATTGAATTCTCATAAAGAATTTTATCAACAAATATTTAAATAATTGAATTCTTTTAACGAGTTTTAATAAAATTTTTATGAATAATCACTTTTTTCAAGGAATTCGATTAAAATTGTATAAATAATAATTAAAATCCTGCAATGAGTTTTATTATTTATGAAAATACTTAAATGACTGAGAACAGTTTTATTATTTATAAAAATAATTGAATTATTGCGAAAAAATTTATAAGAAATTGAAATCCTGGGAATTGTTTATTATTTATAAAAAAATTTGTTTGCGTGGAATTTTATTAAAAATTGTTTAAATAATTGAATTTCAGCGAAGATTTTTGCTATTTATAAAGATAATTGTAATCATGACGAGAATTTTTTTTTTATATTTTCAAAACAATTGAATTTCTAAAAAGAATTTTCTAACTCTTAAAAATAAAATTTTATTCTCGTGATTAATATTGTTATTTATGAAAATAATTGAATTTTGCAAAGAATTTTATTTTTAAATTCTGGGAATAATTTTGATATTTATCTAGATAATTTCTTTCTTTCTAAGTATTTCGTTAAAATTTTTGAAATAATATTAAATACAATATTAAAAAACTCAACTAATTTCAACAGAATTAAATTTAAAATTGCATTAAAAATAATTGAAATTTTGTAATGAGTTTTATTATTTATGAAAATAATTGAATGATTGCCAAGAAATTGATAAAAAAAATTTTGTAAATAATGGAATTTCTGTGAAATTTTTATTATTTTTTGAATGTAATTAAAAGTTTGTGTAGAATCTTATTAATTTTTTTTTAAATAATTGGATTCTTTTGGAAAATTTTATGAAAATAATATAGATATTGAAAATCATTGGATTAAGGAAAATTTTTGAAAATAATTGAATTTCGGAGAAGAATTTAATTATTTCTAAAGATAATTGAAATTTTGATGAAAATTTTAAAAAAATTTTAAACATAATTGAATGTGTGCGAAGAATTTTATTACTTTTGAAAATAATTAAATTTTTGCAATCATTTATAATTTCTCTAAAATTCTCCAAATTATATCGTACAATTTTTGAACTTTTCGTCCTTTTTGAATTAAATTGCGGACTTTAAGGACATTTTAAAAAAACGGACATTTTTATGGGTATTTCAAATAACTAAAATGTGATTACCAAAACATCTTAGAAATGACTATCAAAACATCTTAAATTAAGATACTTCTTTTTGCAGTGTTCTAAGATGCTTTGGTAGACTTTAGAAACAATCTTATTTTAAGATAGCACTAAAAAAAAATTTTAATTGATTCAAATAACCGATTGATTGACTATTATCAATTAAATATTTCCTTGAATCAAATAATATTTATTGGTTTCAATTAAATGGTATTTGAACCAACAATTTCAGTATTTGAAGCAAATACCGTTTAATTGACTCCAATAAATATTATTTGATTCAATTAAATATTTAACTGATAATAGTCAATTAATCGGTTATTTGAATCAAATAAGTTTTTTTTTCAGTGATCAAAAAAGTCACCTATTTTTGCAGTGTATACACCTCAAACTTCCTGCAACCTTACAGGTTAGTTGGGTCTCACCCAACTAATCCGTAAAGTTGCCTGGAAGTTTGTTCACACATGAAAAATGGAAAAATATCACTTATTCAAATTTACTGATTTTTTGTTAAGACCTTAAAACTTAAAACAATGTAAATGTTTCACGAAAAATATAGTTTCCCATTATTTTTAATTTTCCCGGAATAAAAATGGAAGGGCTGCTAAACAACATCTATTAGAAAATGTAAAATGAATGTTTTTTAAAGGGAAATCTCTGAGAAAAACGATAGAGAAGCGATTTATTTTCATTTCTCTCTTTCTCTGTGTGTTTTTTTTTTGTTGGACCACCCGAGTAACTATAAGCGCGGTAGCATGGTATCTCACAGAATCTCTGTGTTTTACAAGCCAGCTGTGTATCGTTCTGAATATTGTTGGTCCTTTGTGCTCGTGTCCTGCGCTTGAGTGGTTCGGGCTTGACTTCGCTGTTTGTTCTCAAGCTCAAAGAGATCTTCCACTACGAAGGATGATCTCCATCCTCCTTGTCAGCTTAGCTTTTCGGGATTACAAGGATTTCTTTATATTCTCCTCACTTCCTTCAAGAATTCAAGGTCTTTTCTACTGTTTCTTCTCTCACTCTTCTTTTAACATCTTGCTCCTATATCCCTTTTTTTTCGTTTGTCCACACTTTTATATACCTTCACTATTGTTTAACATTTCATTTTTCAACACGACTTTAGCACTTCTTTTTAGATTATACGCACCCTTTCTTCACTGAATTATTGTGATAATTAACTCTTGTCAGTATATTTAAAAAATGACAATAATACAAGAATTAATAACAGATTTGTTAGATCTTAATGTAGAAAATATTAAATGATAATTTCCTATTGCGATTTATATCTTGAGGGACTGAATAGTAAATAAGTGTCCTTTCTGACATCCAGTACATATGGAAGTACTTATTTCACTTACTTGTCATTCGTAATAAAAAGATCGAGGTTTCAGATACGAGTGTCTCCGTGAGAATTGCATCATTTTTCATGGTTGTAATCGTGTTTGATGAAAAAATTCAAAAATTCTCTTTTGACTGAGAGTTAAAAAGTTGTAAAGGACTAAGCGGCAGGATGTTCCTTGTTAGCGATAAGATCGTACGAGATTATTAATTAAATACCCGTCTCGTAACACTACAAGAAACACTCACTTGCGAATAAATGAAAATTCATTTTCCAACTCTTTCTTTGCTAATTCTTTTTATACAAAAGAAGAAACCTTTTTACAGTCATAAACTTTCCTAAATTTCTTTCCCCTTTTTGGAATCAATTTGCAATATGAAATAATGATCGATCATTCATTATACATTCCTCATTGCGTATGTAATATATACGGTAACTGATTAATTA